TAAGAGCAAAACTGTACGCATACATATACCCCACTGAAAAGCTTCTGCACACATCAAGAGACTCTCAGTGGAGTTGAAGATAGCCTGGTGATGTGTGACAATGTGGGCAGATGGACAAACTTGTAGGATATTATGTCAGCTAAATACAACAGGTATGAAGAAACAGACACTGTAAAAATCTTAGCAGGGAGTAGGTGACAGTGGTGGAGAGTGGAGAGCCACGCTGGCCAAGGAGGCAAAGTGCAGGTTAGAGAGAATAACAAGAGTTCCATTGTAAAATATGCTGACGACAGTTAACGTGGAACATACATGAAAACTACTAAGAGAAGAATCCATTTTCTCACACATAAGAAAATTATAAATACATAAGGGAGTGAATATAGTAATTAGTCCAAATTAGTCATTCCACGATGCCTAGATATTCCAAAACGTGCTGTACATAGCCATGGACAGCTTTTAGTCAATTTAAAAATAAGTGGGGAAAAGCCACTTAAATCAACCATGCCAGAAATAAACTAACTTAAAAAAAATGTGTTTCCCAGGCCCCACTTTAGATATAGAGTCAGTCTGCAGTTTCTAAGATGCCCAGGTGAATTTTCTAGAGGCGCAGTCTATGAAGAAGCAGCAGCAACATCACCTGGTGCCTAGGTTCCACCCCCTACCTGTTGTATGAATTGAGTGTGTGCGTGAGCACACAGAGCAGGGCAGGTAAGTGTTTGAACAAACGCTCACCATGATTTTTGCGCTCTCAGTCTGCAAACAAGTCGCCTAGAAACACTCGTGAGACCTTTGGTATGAACTCCCCATGAACTTTTGGAGTTTACTGCCTGGGTGTTATTCACATGATTCATGATGAATCAATTATTCAGAAGGGGAAAATTGTTCTTTTCTTGCTGCATCAAATGTACAGTAAAGGCTTTGGAGAGAAGACACACTTAGACAGGGGTCTTTAGTATTATTGTTCGCAGTATTGCATGACATCATTTCCTCCATTCCTGAGGTTGAAGAGGGCTGTAAGAGCTATCTTCCAGAAAGGCCTTAAGATACTTAATGGGATTCCGCGGCACACAATAGCTAAGGACATGAATCATGACTCAAGAAAGGGAAGACAGCTCCCTATGAGCTTGAAGTGTGATGAGTACTCAAGCAATATCCTTTTGAAATGCCGAAATCAGTTTGCTCCCTGACCTGTCAAGTGGTCCAACCATCCTCCAACGTGGTTGAGTTGTCATAGGAAGCAAGACCACATCATTCATCATCTAATCATCAAGGCGTTACCTTAATCGTTGAATGTGACTTTCTTTAGCACGCTGAAGAAAACACAAAAGTTCATGAGAAGGTGCGCCTGACATTAAAAAATTACAGATAGTATTATTACCCTCCAGGAACGTGGAGACTATTTGAAAAGATGTCGGCAATAAAGAACACTACACTGTTCACATGAATAGCAGAGGGTAAACATTTTAATTAGCAGGAAACATTATTTTTCTGAACACTACCAGCAACTTTGCCCACCAGCCCCTCCCCCACACCTGCTGAAATGTGCTAAAAACAAAGACCTGGGGTGAGCTGGGGGGGGGCAGCTGTTCTTGAAAGAGAAAGTGAAACCCTTACTGATAAAGTACTAGGCATCATGCACAGAAAAAAATAAACAAATGAATGAATAAATAAGTAAATAAATAAATAGATAAATAAATGAAAAAATTGTCCTTGGAAGTGCAAGCTCTTCTGCAGAACAATTAACTTAATTAACCAGACAGCATGAATATTCATAAGGCGGTTAATGTCTCCTACATCCAGGCAGATAAATGTGCTGTAATGACTTCCTAGTCAAGCATATCTAAAATTCTCATGGAAGCAGCACCTACACATCGGTTCTTTGCCTTAAATCTAGAAATTAACAGTCCCTCGGCAATATTTTATTTTCCCCAAATTAATTGGAAAGCATGAAATTTATTTATGCAAACTCTACAGGAATCTATGATTCAGAGCCATCAGTGTGTGGATTAAGTCTTGTCTTACAACAACTGGATTGCTTCTTTATTTTTATGTCCTCTCAGGCTTCTCTCGCTATCCCCCATTCCCTTCTAATCGGACTCTGTCTGTATAGTTCCTCAGTGCCAGTTCCCATAGCAACAAACACAATTCCTAATAGCCAGCAGTTCAAATACAGGCTTTCCCACATCGGATACATTTGAGTCTGAGGATAATTCAGCAGCTTAATCTGTTGGCTCAGTGGAGTAATTTACTAAACCCTCTCCCTCTGGGTGTCTCTCTCCAGGAGGCTAATGGCTTCAAAGGTAGGCTGTCTCCTCATGGGCAGCTTGGAAACTTCCTGCCTAGCTCTTGTTCCCATTCTTCATCAAAAGCCCTGACTAGGCATAGCATTCTCGTATTAAACGACCCTTCCTATTAGACAGAATTAGCAAGGCACAACTCCTAGTCAACAGCCAGAGTTTGGCAGCCTGCTGTATCTTCCAAACAAAAAGATCACAACGCCATTCCTGGAAAAAGCCACTGAAAAACGGGCTATTTTCAAATTGTAAATAGGCTTTGAAATGAGGGGAAAAATCCCCAATGCCTCAACATTATGCGTTTGTAAAAATTGGTTACATATGATAGACATAAAGATAATGACCAATTTTTATAAGCAGCTCCTTTCCATGTCAAGCGCACGCTTCTGAGAAACTGCCCTATGCATTCCTGAGCCTCGGTGGTTAGTGGATGGCCTCAGAGTCAAGTGCTAATGAGAACAGCAGCAGCCTGGGCACACAGACTGCCAGAAGAGCCCACCAGCTACGAGCAGAACTGCTAAAACGACACTGAAGGGTCAAAACCAAACGGCATGAAACAATGGCCCAAACTGCATCTCCCTCCCTTACAGTCAAGGCTGCTTTATTATCTTCTTGGAGACCATTATTCCTTTTGGTCTTGCTTTAAACTGTCAGGATGTATTAGAATCTCTCTTCCCCTTTCAATTAGTGGCTTTGTGAAAAACTTTTTACTCTACAAAGGCATTTGGATCTGTTCTGATTTGCTTTTGTTTAAAAAATGGTATTTCTATAGGTATCTACTGAATAACTTATATACTTGCAAAATCACAGATATGCTTTACAATAATAAAACCCTAAAGCTAATTCCTTAGGGAACCACTTACATGTTAAACACGTAAGGAGAGCTACTGCAATTCTAAATGTTTGGCATGGCGATGGTTATTACACAGAGCGTTGAATTTTCTTTTAAACACACACATTTTTTGTTTTCATAAGAGAAAATGTATTTTACTGGTTTTGTCTATGATTTTTTAATTGGTTAGTTTTTTGTCAGCTTGAGAGAAGCCAGTTATTTGGGCAGAGGGAATGTCAACGAAAAGTCTCCAGCCACAATGAGCTGTGGGCATTTTCTTGATTGAGGACGGATGTGAGAGAGGCCAGTTCACCGTATGTAATGTCACCATTGGACAGGTGGGCTGGAGGCTATAACAAAGCAGGCCAGTCTGCAGCATTCCTCCATGGCCTCCGCTTCACTGGCTGCCTCTAGGCTCTTGCCTCAAGTTCCTGCCATGACTTCCTTTCATACTAGACTACAAGCTATACGCTGGCTGAAATAGAACATTTTCTCCTCAGGGTGCTTTTGGTCATGGTGTTTTATCACAGCAATCGAAACTGTAATCTTTTAAAATGAAAAAACTAGCAAATTCCCTCTATTATTGCTCAATGGAATGAGTGAATTATGTACATAACAGCATATTCTTTTCTTAACCATACATTATTTTGCCCTGTTTCCCTTGCTTCAACCTCTGCTTTCTCCACAAGATATTCTGTACCCTGCATCCAAATTAATGCTCTTGAACTATGCTCCATTGCATGGTTTCCCCGATATGAAGTATACCATATCTCTCTTCTGCTTCTCAGGTCAAACTCAGACCCCTTTCTGTGGCATGTCTGCACAGTGTCCACCAACTGGCCCGCCAGTGCACGATCATCTCCCATCAAAGCCTTCTTTTCTTTGCCTCAAGTGTTCCCAGTGTTCGCCTTTGCTTTAATTACGGTGGAGGCTATAGTTTAAGTGTTCTGTGTATTCACTCAACTTAATAAACATTATTGCATACTCCCTGTGCTAAGGTACCAGGGATGTGCTTGGGATAAGAGATGAGGACTGGAAGGAGTTTGCCCTCCAGAACCTCAGATCTCTTTTCAGGCACAAGAGTTCCCTATTAAAGTTAGAGTCGTCCAAGGTTGCACATTTTACCTCACAGGACCCTGTAAACACCGTAGGCAGAGTAGCCTGATTTTGAAACTTCTCATCTGGTTCTGGGGGTCATTAGGCCTTTTCATAATGAAATAAAAATTCCACCGATAATTACTTAGGTGCCATATATCCTTTGAACACCCCAGACTTCATAGTACAGTGATCTTGTAATCACGTGGGTGTTATACAGGATTCCCCTAATAGAGATTAGGAAAAAAAAATGAGGCCAAAAGATTAAATGTCTTGCCCCAAGTTTTACATTTGCTGTGGAAATGCTGGACGATGCGTGACGCTGTCGAAGAATTTGTACATTTGAGTATCATTAGGAGGTAGGAAGTGGAATTACAGAAGAGAATATTGTTTGGGTTTGTTTTTGTCAACAGGACACAAGCTAGCACTGTCTTGGAAGAAGGATTCTCCACATCAGATTGGCCTGTAGGCAGGTCTGTGGGATATGAAGTATTTTCATTAATGATATGGATAGCTCAGCCCACTGTGGTTGAAGCCAGCCTTAAAAAGTTGGTACCCAGTTGTAAAGGTAGCTGAAGAAGTCATGGAGAAAAAGCTAGTAGGCAGCATTCTTCTATGTCTCTGCTTCCGTCCTTGCCTTGGCTTCTCTAAGTGATGGGCTATAAACTAGCTCTAAGATGAAATGAGCCCTTTTCTCCCCAGCTGGGTTTTGGTCATAGCAATAGAAAGCAAACCAGGGGGGGGGCAATTTAGTGAATCTGTGGGGGGCTACTCCTTGCCTGCTGGTATTAGGCCAAGTGGAAGCTGAGCTCTCGTGGGAGTCAGGAGGTGGTCCATCTCTACACCAGCATCCTTCTGAGCTCTGAGGAGCAGGGCATGGGCGGCTTCACTAGCAGATCCATCTCCACCAACACAGACAATGCTGGGAACACAGAAGCAAGCAGAAGAAAGCTGATTAGTTGATATTGAGGAAATCCAGAATTTAAAACATTTTCTAACCTTACTTACATAGTATATGGGACTGTGTAGTGGATAGGATCACTCAAAATAACCTCAAGCCTTTAGTAAGGGATAATGAATGACTCAGAAGACACAGCACTACACAGATACAAATACTTTACAAAACCAGACCCTCCACAGTGCTCCATAGACAAAATAGTTACAAGGGTTTAAACAGAGAACATTCCAACTCACATCTAACCAGCATGTGTTTGTTCACATCCAAAGCATGTCAAACCAAGTTTTTGAACTCTGTCGGGTTTCAAATTTTTTCCATGAGATTTCTCAATGTCTTATGAACTTTGTTAATCCTTATCCATGACTATGTACATGTTGTGTGTGATCTACAAGGACCATATAAACCCTTCCTTTCAAAAGATATAATTTAGCTTGAAAGAGTTTGATTCTTAGATGCTTAGGATGGCAACCCATGACCACACATGAAACCACCACAGGTGTGTAAGAGTCAGAGGAGATCATTCCACGAGTATTCCCTAGACAATAAATGAGGATATAACCTGGGAAATGTTGTCATGATACAGATGTTAGGAGAATGCTTTGCAATGAATCCAAATGATAACTATAACAACAGAACAAGAGTGAATAAGTGCCATTGTGAATACCAGCTAGTGGCTATGACTGTCTACATATCCGACACTGTTCTCAACTGTTGACTCTCTGGGTGTTAACTTCCTTAAGTGATAGCTGTAGACACTAGATATTGACAGCCTCAATTCACAGATCAGGAAGCTAAGGCGTAGAGAGATTAAGTAGATTTCCCGTGGTCACCCACTTTAAGTATCCATACTATCATTCAATAGAACGTTCTAACTTTCTTTTTTCTATGTAAGAAATACAAAGACCGTAGCCTTACGGGAACTTTACTACTTTGAAATCAATTTGAACCAGAAAAGTCAAGATGAAATAGAATGAGTTAGAAAGGAATAAATATATAGCTCAATAAAAACAAAAATAAAGTACCAGAAATTAACAGATTAAAAAAAAAAGGAACACATATAACGACTCATGTCAACAACTACTAGATCACGGTTAACGCTCACTGTCAACTTGACTGGGTTTAGGATCACAATGGATATATACTTTTGGTCAAGTATGTATTTCTAGGGGAGATGGTGTGGGTAGCACCATCCTATAGGCTGTCGTCCCTGACTGGATACAAATAGAAGTGAGCTGAGAACCAGAATTCATCCTTCTCTGGAAACAATGTGAACTGCAGTCTGACACCCCTGCTGCCCTGCCTTCCCACCATGAAGATGCTACCACCTTCAAACTGTAAGCCAAATCAAACCGTTCCTTCCTTAAGCTGATTTCTTAAAATGCCCAGGTGATTTTTACCACAGCAAAGAGGAGAAATGGCTAACCACATTGCTCAGATTACATCACGTATATGACACAAACCCAATGCATGTTTAATATACAAGCACCATGGAACGGGATACTACAGGGAAAGAAAAACATCATCCTTTTGCCATAAGCCACTCTACCACTGAAGAGCTACTCGAGTGACCCCTTTGCATCTGAGAAGTCTTGCTGTTCTCAGGATGAGTAAACTTTGTCACTGGCCTCAGTAGAATGATTCTAGAAAAGTGGAATCAGGGTGTACATTTCTTTCCATTTCTAAAAGAAGAATAACAAAGGACTTTAAGGGACTGCTTGCATATCTTCTATCACAACCAATATTATCTTTGAAATGTTGAATTTCAGGTTGTTTTTTTTTTATTTTTGGGTCAGGGTTTGGCTTTAAAAACACTTACTTGCTATAACAAATACCAAAGTCAACCTGAGAAAATGTCAGTGCTAGTCATGTAACATCTACATTATAGTTTATATATCTCATAGTATTATGAACAAAATAATGCTGCTATGTAATCCAGAAAATTACACACACACACACACACACACACACAGAGAGAGAGAGAGAGAGAGAGAGAGAGAGAGGAAAAGCAAACATTAGTATACTAACAATAACATAAACAGTACAGGTTGTTTTAACGGTGTTCATCTTACAGTGAATGCAACTGCCACAGCTTCACGTCTCTTCTTTGCCCTTACATAACTATTTTTAATGAGACCATGGAAATAGGGGCAATATGGAACCTAGCCTCCCCTAGCTTTTAGCCATGGATTCCACAGTGTTTGCTAGAACACACTGGAGTGGGACACCATCTGTCATTGAGTATTGATCTGCTGTTTCTCTTGGCTTTCAAAATATATCACAATGTGTCTTCACAGAAGCATATGGAACTCGTTTTTAAAAACTCTAAAATCTTAGGAAATAGTATTTCTTAAACATCATCTACCAAACTGTTTCACATTGCTGACTAAGCTATACTGAAGCTTATTTTGGATTGCAGATTCTCAACCTCCTGTCTAGTGGCCATGAATAACTTACTAACCACTTCCAATCAATAACTCCACCGCTGCCAAACAGGGATGTCACAGACGAAATCTCCTGAAGGAAGTGATCCCTGGGTCACATACCGTCTTTAAATTTTTTATATAAACTTTTTCAAAAATATTCCTACTTTTTCTTTAATTGAACCCGGATCCTTTGGAAGAGCAGCCAGTGCTCTTACCCTTAGTCATCTCTCAGCCCCCTTTTTTATTCTCATCTATTACATCCTGACCTTGGTTTTCCCTCCTTCCTCTCCTCCAAGTCTGCTCCCTGTTCCCCTCTCCCCTAAATCCATTCCTCTTCCTTTCCCTTCAGAAAAGAGCAGGCCTCCCAGGGATATCAACCAAACACAGCACAACAAGTTACTAGAAGACCAGGCACCTCCCTCATGTTGAGACTGTACAAGGAAACCCAACAGGAGGAATACAGTCCCAAAAGCCTGAAAAAGAGTCAGAAATAGCCCATACTCCCAATGGGAGGAGTCCCACAAGAACACCAAGCTACACAACATAACTTAATGCAGAGGACATAGGTCAGAACCATACAAGCTCCCTGATTGTCCCTTCAGTCTCTGCAAACCCCCATGAGCCCTGGTTTGTTAATCCTGTGGGCTGTTTTCTTGGGGTGCCCTTGACCCCTTTGGCTCCTACAATCCTTCCTCTCTCTCTCTTCCGCAGGGTTCCCCGAGTTCTGCTGTGGGTCTCAAGATGGGCTGGAGGGTAAAGATAGCATAGAACTTGTGGAAGTGGCCAACCAATGACTCGTCCAAATTGATAGCCATGCCATGTTGGAGGAGGCTGCTTGTTCGTTCTTGGCTGCTCAGCCCCGAAATAGTCATGCAGAAACCATATTATTTTCAATACTGTTTGGCCAATAGCTTAAGTGTATTTCTGGCTAACGCTTATATCCTAAATTAGTCTATCTTTATTAAACTGTGCATCACCACGAGGTCGTGGCCTACCCGGTAAAGTTCTGGCATCTGTGTCTGGAGGAGCTACATGGCTTCTCTCTGACTCTACCTCCTTTCTCTCAGCATTCAGTTTAGTTTTCTCCACCTACCTAAGTTCTGCCCTATCAACAACCCAAGGCAGTTTCTTTATTCATCAAAGGTATTCACAGCATACAGAGGGGAATCCCACATCAATGCCATGAGAGGGAACCCATGTCTGACACAGCCCTACAGGACCAGGAACCAGAGTCTGGACAGCCTGGAGACCCAGGATAGAACCAAACACAATCAGAAAAAATAGCCAGTGAAATGAGTCCTAGTGATTCTCCGCTATAGTCATAGCCTGGAGCCTAGCATAATCACCACCAGAGAGGATTCATCCGGAACAGACGGGAGCAGAGGCAGATACCTATGCTCATTCTTTAAACGGGTTCAATGAGGGACATTTCCTGTCTGAACAGTTCCTGTTAGAAACTTGTGCTTTTGAAGTGTTTACTGAAATCATGTTTCCACTGTTTTCACCAGTGTCTGCATATTTCTGAGGGGAATTATAATTACCTTTTAATTAAAGTGATTGCTCCAACAATACCGATTCCTATTTGGTAAGCTAAACCCATCAAAATGAATGAGCTATTCAAAATATTTGGAACAGGGATGACTTCTAATAGAAATTTAAAATTATTATACAAAGTAATATCAGTATACCATAGGATTAGAACAAACTAGGAGACTTACTTAGTTCACATAACAGGACAATTTGGTTTAAGGATATGTAATAACTAAAAGTTCTATGAATCTTTTAATATCACACTGAAAAATAATTTCTACATAGGAAATAAAATTAATATGTTTGGATAGAGGGAAAGCTCTTTCTCCGCATCTCAACAGTCGTTTATCTTCTCTACAGGCCCTCTACATCCCCATAATGGTGCAACTGTCAAGAGAAGACACCGACAGACACCACACTCGGCAGAGCATCTCATGCCAGCAGGGAGTAAGTTCAGGTTTTATATCTACATCTGTTATCCTACCTTTTATAGCCAAGGTCCAAAGCAAGGGCTTAGCGTGAGGCCATGATTTTCTTACGCCTGTGGCTTGGGACTCTGGACCACAGTAAGTCACTCATCATTCGGCATAAATTTACCAACCATAGTTTTTATATGTACACTTCCAACATAATTTCTTCAAATGTAACCTTTTATCCTTCTGTTCTCTTCTAGGTATGAAATCTTAGTAATTACCCAACTTGTCCTCTTGTTCATCAATGCTTGTTTAGTATAGCCATCTAGTTTTACTGCCCCTTTTATATCCCCTTTGGTTTAATCATGATTTACTTTCTAAATCTTAAGTCTCACTCAGCACTACTTTTTTTTTTTACTGCAATTCAGTGTTTCTTTTGATGGTAACGATAACGCTCATGTGTCTTATATTTCTTTGGAAGCATTAAACCTGCTTTTTCATTTTGGGGAAAATGAAGATCGCATACCATTCAAGGCCTCAGTGGTTCACTGGTCTTTTCTTGCCTCCTCCCCATTACCATGTGGCTATCCATCCACATACCATCCTTCAAAGCTCTACATTGTAAGTCTTGCATAAACATCCTCCCCAAAGTAATGTTTTCATTATATACGTTAATCAATTCTGTATCTCATTGCCTTGTTCCTAATGTTCAATTGCTGGTGAACAATTTCATCACACTCCAACAAAGCATTGTAGACAAATTTCTTTCTTTCTTTCTTTCTTTCTTTCTTTCTTTCTTTCTTTCTTTTACATGGGAACTCTCTTTATTCTCAGGTTCTCCCTGCCAGAAGGCCAATCCCTGAAAGGTTCCACACCAACTCCCAGTACTGACACTTTAGCAAGTGGGTTCCAAATGTGGGAAGCTTTGAGAGGACATAAGGCATCTCCAACCTGCATCAGGAGAAGCAAAACATAACCAGTGTTCCAGAGTCTGTTACAAAGGGCAATTTACCATATACATTGTTACGGTTCCGGCTCCAGAGTCTGTTACAAAGTGCAATCACGAATTAAGAGAATGCCCTATAGGCTTGCTTACAGGCCAGTCTTTTGAAGGTATTATCTTAGTTGAGGTTCCCTCCTCCAGTTGACATAACCTCTCCAGCACACCCTCACTAATGACAGCCTGCTGTGGGACTAGCTAATCCAGTCCCATGAGAAAGACACTGGTTCCTTCAGACTCACTATTTATTTGTGAGTTAATCTGTTGTGATAGTGCTCCTGTTACACAGCCTATTCTGACTTCAAACTCAACCCTCCGGTTTCAGTCTCCCAAGTGGAACTGGAGTTATAGGGATGTGTCACTACGCCCAGCAACCATTCTCTTAACATCCACAGCACCCTGTAAAAGACCCATCACCTCTCAACACTGCTATAGTGGAAACCAAATTTCAACACAAGTGTTCAGTGGGTCCATACCATATTCAAATCATATCAAGCATCATGGGCTTTTCCTGTGAGAAGTTGTTAATACATGAGAAATTTGAGTTGCCTTTATCAAAATGAAAAGGGAACATGAAAACAAGACAGCTTATGTAAAATCATGGCTACTAACTAGTGCTTGCTTTAAAGCAGAACTGTAACTGTCCAATGGCAGTCCAGATGAGTAAGTGCCAAAACTACTGACCATGCAGAATGCCCGAGAGGATTTGAGGAGGAAGAGCATGGCAGGAAGCTTACTTTTCCGGCTCAGTTCCTTAGCATCAGGCTACTGTAACAATGTATATGGTAAATTGCCCTTTGTAACAGACTCTGGAACCGTAACAATATATATGGTAAATTGCACTTTGTAGACAAATTTCTAATGCCAGCTATGAATGTCTAAAATATCTGCTTCCACGTGCTCAAGCTGAACAACCTGGTTGGTCTCTGGTACCACAAGCAGTGTCACAATGCTGTGTTTACAGCTCAACACCAACCTGGTGCAAGCTGGTGGTGAACATGCCGCCCTTCCCATGTCTACAGTCCTTCATGCCCAGTTTTGCCTCCCACACAGCATCCCTGGGAAGTCAGTATCCAAAACAAAAATAGCAGTTACTTCGTAGAATGGATTCCCAACAGCATCAAAGTGAACTTGTGTGACATCTTGTCCCAGGGCCTGAAGATGGCCTCCACCTTCATTGGCAATAGCACTGTGCATTCAGATATGCTATTCAAGAGCATCCTAGGCAGGTCTTGACCATGCTCCACACGAGGCCTTCACACACTGGTTCATAGACGAGGGGAGTTCACCAAGGTTGAGAGTAAAATAAATGACCTGGAGTTCAAGCATCAGAAATACCAAGACACCACAGTCCAAGACAGGGCAGAGTGGAAATAGAGGTTTCCTTCCCGCCCGCTAGTTCCTGAATAAACACTCAGAGGCTTCATATTAATTATAATTGTTTTCACCAGTGGCTCAGGCCTATTACTGACTAGTGCTCTCAATTAAACCAACACATTTTCATTAATCTATTGTCACATGGCTATGGCTTACTGGTAATGTCCTGGTATCTTACTCCTTTGGCTGCTACATAGCATCTCTCAAACTCCACCGTCTTTCTCTCTTTCTCTCTGTTTGGACTTTCTGCCTATCTATATTCTGCCCTGCCATAGGCCACAACAGTTTCACTCGTCAACCAATAAAAGCAACACATATTTGCAGCATACAGAAGCACATCCCGCATCAAAAGAGGTTTTTGAAGATGATGAAGAAGAGACCAATGAATAGGAGATTTTATGACGCTACCAGCACACCTGCTCTTTACTTCACCCTGCTACAGGAATGGTGCCCTTTTAAGCATGAGGTCCCTCTCAAATCAAACACACCACGCTGTTTCCCAGATTAACTGGTGCGCTGTTTTCCCTTTAGCAGAGAACGAACAGTTCCACCAGACCAGAGAGATTTTGTATGGAAACACTTGAAAGCAAAGCAGGGAGCCACACAGGGCTCACAAATTCCAGTTAAATGTCCAGCCATCAGAGTTAGCAGGGGAGTTAGAATAATGACATGCTTTTAATCCTTGGTGATAAAAACTAAAGTCACACAGTGTTGCCTTAATTGATATGTAATACAGAACTTTGTGATAAACTATTCATAATAAAATGTTAAACCTGCAAAACAAAATAAGAGAGAAATCAAAGCCAATAAGTTATGTAATAATTAAAACCAGCATTTTATTTATTTCTTTTATTCATTCAGAAAATAGATTTGTTGTTATAAAATATCTACTCCAATCAGTCACAGCAAAATTCACTATTGGGTATCTATTGAGCTGCCAGTAAATTTGCAAAAGACGACCACAGCATTGTTATGTTATATGATAAACAGAACAGCTTTCAGCAATGTTCTTCTTTATTTTGACATTTTCAAAAGTCTAACACTAAGGATTTTAAATGTAAATTTATGCAGGTTGAGTATAGGGTAGTACATTGTGGTTTCTCAATATATATAATTTCATTGCTCTTTTTGAATCCCTACGCAAAGTCCTTAGAGATGGATGGCCACGATATATCAGCATTAATTATTAGCACATGGATGTGAACAAACAGAGCCTAATTCACTATAATGCTTTAAAAATTATCAGATCTAAATATGTGACTAAATGCTATGAAAAATTTACTATCATAACTTTTATGTATGTGAAGATTAATAATGTAACCTACCCATCAAATCCCTGGAGTTCACATCCGTCAAGCAGGGACAGGGCATGCCCTTCATATTCTGTTACTATTAAAGAAAAACACAGAACAGAAAAATGAACATTATAAACAACAATCTACATTTTTAAAGCTTGGTTTGACAAAATATTATGTTCCAAACATATGGTCAGGTAAGAAAACAGCATTTATTCTTGAATATTTGAATCATAGGACAGAAGATTAAATGTTTGTTATCCGATATTTTATAACTTTATGTAAAGAAGACCACGTAGTTGTTGTAACCATATAAGTCATTTAGGAATACCCAACACACAGTGTTTAGGGCATTTATCTTGGTGCTTGTCTGTTTAGCTTTCCCTAAATAAGACGCGTTTCCTTTCGATCCGAAGCTTGGGAACAGGACTATTTTGAAAATACAGCATATTTGCTGGCATTGAACAGTCAATGTTAAATCACTTTGGCAACCTTACATGAATAAATTAGTTGAAAGGTTAGTGTAAGATTTACATACCAGAAGAACATGTATCTGGAGTTGCTAGACTCAAAACAAAAAAAAAAAAAAGGAAGCTGGATGTGAAAACACGAAGTAATGCCAACCCGATGATAAGAAACCCAAACCCAAGGGAAGGCCAGCATCCAGTACGGGAGCCCGGGTCCACAGAGGGGACGAGTCTGTCGTACCACATCTCTGTTGCCACAGTCACTAACATCCCATGCAGTGAAGGCAGGATGAGTGGGCACGCTGCAGATGGCAGCGAGCATTACCAGCGCATTTAGCATTTTCTGGGGCATCCTTGCCAGAAGAGGCAGCCCAGCTGTATCCACCCATCAAAGATTTCCGCTGCCTGACATGACACTGCAGATGGATTTTGTTGTGTAAGAATGCGCATCATTATATGCGAGATTACATTAATCTTTCATGCCTGTCTATCCCTGCAGCCAGCATGCTGCAAGCTTTTCTTGTGATGTTTTTGGATATTGTTAAAAATTATTAGTTGTGCTGTCTGGGAGAATCATTCTGTATCCAGCCCTGTTACATTGCTATTCTCCCCAAACTTATTAACCAGGAAAAAACCTGTTAAATTCCAATCAGAGGAAAGATATAAGAAAATTCAAAATACCAATATTAATAAATTTTCAAGGGTACAGCATCAAAAAGATGTGTGCTGATAATTCATTTATCGTACAACCTTAAAGTGCATTGTAATAAGTGTTCCTACACACACACATGCTCAAGATCATTAAGGTTGTTGTGAAAAAAACACATGGGCTGTGAAGCAAGTTTTCATCTCCGGGTTTTATGCCAAAGTTTACTTTTAAAAACATTTCAAATACATTATGTTTAGACTAAAAGTTTTCTTTTATTTAGGTGAGAGTTAAAATATCCTGATTTTCCCCTTAACATCTCAAATGGCATTTGATTATACACTAATGGAACACATTTAAGTACGGGAACCTTAAGGGATATTGAATATGTTAAAAAATAAATCATTTTTCTGTCTGACACAAAAAGAGGAAACAAAACCGACTAAGAAATGCCCAGATGTAAAATGTTTTAACAGGGTGAATAAGATAAACGGCCTCTGTGGAGACAGAATATGTTCTAGTGATGAAGGAGCCTATGATGTGAAATAGCAAAAAGTGATCATAGAGAAAGAGAATGCAGGGGAAGGGGAAGTGGTGATTCGATGTCTATGTAAAGTAGAAAGAATCAGAACAAGTAACCAGACGAGGTTTTACAGGCTCTAGAATCAGACAGAGTCACGATCATCCCACCAAAAAGATCATGAAGAGGGGTTATAGGCAAATCAATTTTTTTTACTGTGCTACTGCCTTTCCATCTTCTTTCCCTCTTCCCGTGAAGCCAGCACTCTGTGCCATCTCTGTATTATTTAGAATCTACACTTCCCTGTTCTTTACCTCAGCTCTCCTCCACTTCAGCGTAAAGGTCACTACCCCAGTCTGCGCCTAGGGCAAACAGTGTACATAATGAATTTGAAATAAAATCAGACACAATATGTTTTAGAGACAAAGAAACATGTCTTTGTCTGGTACTCAAATTTTATCATGGGATAGGATACTGAAATACCATTTTTCTCTTCCTACAGGCATCCCGGGAAGCTCAGAGCACAACCAGACCAGGATGCTCAGTTTCCAGCTCCTTTCATAACTTGTTCCCCTACCCCGTACACATACTTGGTGACTGAATTTCTCCAGATGGCCTCGTTTTCTTCTGGGTGAAATAAGGAAAGAGAAAGGTGTAAGTAGAGCCATGGAGAACAAATGAGAAAGAATACAAAGTCGCAAGGCCTGAAAGCCAAGAGCATGACCACGTAACAAGAGCTCCACTTTCTGAACAACGCCGTCCATCACAAGGAGGCAAAACTATCAGGTGACTAGATATCCCCAGAGACCCTGACCTGGCAGTGATCATGGCGAAGGTCAAGCACCTTCGTCAAAGTCAAGGTGACTGATGATCAAGAAGGAAGGGCACAGAGCATGGTGACTCCACACACCAGATAGAACGCATTCATTTTGTACTAATACAAAGAACAGCATTAGTTACAGTAGGTAACAATTGTAAGATGACTGTCGATTCTCACATCCTCTGTACTGTGTGGTATGGAACTAGCACAAGTCATTCAGCAAAGAGGACAAGTGGATTTGTGATACACACAGGGTTCCTGACCAGCAAGCTATGCGGCCTTGGGCTGAATCAGCTGATACATAAGATGTCATAGAGGAAGGACCTTTGCTTACTTTGCTTACGTGCACAAAGGCAGAGACAATGCACTCAAGGACATCAAAGTTGGTCAGTAACATGGCTTCTCCCACTAGCATAGGATCCCACCTTGACACCCACAGGGAGAGACAAACACCTCCCCTGTACTACAATCTGCTATCTCTACTCTCTTCAGCTCCTCTTCACAGGCAGCCTCACGACTCCAGCAGGGAACCTGGAGCTATCTGGTCTTGAAATTCTTTTCTCTGATTTCTCTACTTCTCTGACTTTTCCACTTTGTTGTCCTGTGTATTCTTCCTATCACCTAATCAACTCTCAGAACTCCAACATCTTTTGTTGTTGTTTAGTTTACCAGAGTTTCACTGTGTATCCCTGGCTGACCTGGAACTCACTCTGTAGAGCAGGGTGACATTGAACTCAGAGACTCACCTTCCTCTGCCTGCTAATTCCTGAGAATGAAGGGTCCTTTAAAGATACAGACTCTAATATCTCATAATAAAATAAATATTTTGAGAAACAGAAAAGGGAATATGTTACATGTCAGCCTGGATTTATCATTCATTCTCTCCTTTGACCCCTGGACTAAGGTATTACCAGAGTTAATGCCTGTTCCTTCTAGGCATTTCCAGAAGCCTTGCTATTGGTTTTATTAGAGAAAATCCTACATTAGTGGAAGTAGCAGCATGGTGGGCTATAGTTTTAACTCAAATATTTCCCAAAGTGCTGGTCTATATTTAGAAGTGGCTAGGATTTTAGCAAACATTAAAGTGAATCATAAATTTATTTATGTGTAAGATCTATGTTTAAAATAAATGTATGAAAAAGCATTGTGCAGAGGTGCGATATTCAAATCACGCTAAATAGTTACATAGCATGACTTTCCCTAGTAAACTGTTATATAGAATTTAGGCAATTGATATTCCACTTGGAATCACCAGTGCAAAGGGGCCATGTCAAATTGGCGTGCAGTAAATGTGTGCTCTTTTGAATTATTCTTCATATATTTTCTTTGCACTAAAAGGCGAATTGAATCTTGCTACATAGTTTTATGAAAATTAAACTCCTAAACTAAGGGCCACATTTGTACGACACTTTAAGCAAGACAGGCAGAAAAACTAAAGCACTTCCAGCAGCCCCATGTTTGTGCAGACTTTCACACAAAAGGAGAACATTTTGCTGGTATACAAAAGAAAATCCACCAGTTCCTTTTCTCTTATCTCCCTTTTTCTCCTCATCTTCCTCTTTCTCTTTCTCCCCTGATCTTGATTCAGCTGGTAGACTCAGCTCTGCCAAACAATATTACAAAACAACGATTTTTTAAAAGCCACTAACTGTAGATCAAGGTGTGATGGGCAAATTGCTTAGTGTAGCTTTGGATTCAGCCATATCTGGACTCCAGCTTCTGTGGGATACGTTGGTGGTGGCTGGGGGAAGGGGACTTCTCAAAGCCACTTTGCCCTTCTTCCTTAATAGAATTCAAATTCAATCCAGACATCGTCCTTCAGCCTTCAGTAAGTGGGAATCTGCCCTTAGCTCCAGGAAAGAAAACATCTGTCCTATGTTGAACACAGATAATCAAACCAAAAGAAAATTTGGCACATGTTAGGGTCCCCCTTTCTCACATATAAATGCCTTTCTTCATCCCACTAGGTAAGAATAAGAAAGACTGCAATGTTAATGGTCAATGTTAATGGTTATGAAGGTGGGACAAACCGGGTTCAAGACAAATTTAAAATTATGAAGGTATGGCCAAAATTACAAACCCCCAAGATACCATGATATTATGGTTCTCTTGATGATACTACCCCTTCCTATCTCTGCCCCCTTATTTAAACATGCCTGCTACCCTACTGTCCCCTCCCCATTTCTACCTCCTTTGCCTCTTGCGAAGTATCTGGAACACGTGGTTTTCTTGAGTCCTCTCATCAAAATCAGTATCACCTTCAGACACCTTAGGTTTTTATGCGCATGTCAAAACCACAATATTCAGCTTTTAGTGTCTGCTTGAATTCTCAATGGCCATGTATCCTGAATGGAGCAAGAATGCCACCGAGATTATTTGCCTGTTTGTCAGGATGACTTCAAAAGCTTGGGTACCAATGATGTACCTGCCTCAATGTCCCAAATACAAGGCACAGTGCCTAGGTTCCTGTGGCAGATTCAGCAACTGATACATAGCAATGCCTGTGCAAATGCCTGAGTAGTGTTCACGTATGAAAAATCTAACAGTGGTTAATGAGCTTGGCATTCATCTAAGTTCTAATTGTCTCATCCCAACACGGACCTCAGATCTTTGCAGTCTTTGGAACTACTCCAGAGCCAATAGGGTGGACCTGGGTTGTGCATTTCCCGTGGGACACTCACCTGCACACCGAGAGTTACAGCCATTACCGGCTATCCTTTTCACTGCAACCTCATTGAACTCAGAAATTTATTTGAAGTGTTTTTTTCTTTTATTTTAGTTTTGTTATTCATTTATTTTTAATAAGACAGGGTTCTGTTATGTAGCTCAGACTGACCTCAGAGCCATAGTCTTCTTCCTCAGTCTCCCAAGTTCTAGGATTATAGGCATGGGCTTCCATTGGTGGTCTCCTCTTTACCCTTCATGATGGCAGATGTCTTTTGGGTGACTGAACTTCCCACAAGGCTTCTTTGGGGAGGAGGGTCCTTCTACCCAAGTGCTTCAAAGGCCTTATTAACACTGTGAGACCTATTTCTGTCTATCACAGCTGAGCAAAGCCAGGTCCTTCCTCCATAAACATGTCATTATGACCAGGAGACTCAACTTACTCTGGGCTTGTCTCCCGCCTGGTTAATTACATAATAGACTCCACCGACTGCAGTGTGAGGCAGATTCCCTCCGCTGTGGCCAATTCACATGGGAAGAAAGCCACGAAAGTTCTGGCTTTAGGCAGTGTCCACGCTGGGCATACAGTGGGTGTTAATAAAGCATGGGAATTTGGCCACCAAATGTTAAATGTCCAAAAGATATTACTAACATTCTTTCCATTTGTTTGGTGATTAGCAAACTCCAGTCTTCCTTAGCAAGAAGCTAAGCACACTCTTACTTTTAACAATGGCTTCAAGCTCCCCATTTCTCCCAGATCAACTAACAGGGGCAGCTTGGTGCTTAGTTTTGACCTAACCAGCAGGGGTCAGGAGCAGAACAAAAACAACCCAAGGGAAGAACCACAGAAAAAAACATTAGGCAGAAACATGAATACAGCAAGTAGAAATGTGGATATAGCAAACATCTCCTTGAAGCTGTCAAAAACCAGAGTTTCCTTTCAAGTAACACTTAGTGATGGTTACTGTGGAAGAGGTCTAAAATGTTGATATTTCAGTACAAAACAACGCAATGAAAAAGCCAACTAGATGAAAGGCCACTCTGGAGCTGGCGATGGGACACATGAAGAACACTCTCCTGTTTGGAGCAGCTGCTCATGCTTAGCAAGGAAGACTGCGTGGGCGCGGTGTGGAGTTTTACACAGTGAAGTCACACAGAGCAAGCCACTCACTTGTCACATCTGTCTTTATCCCCGCGAGTTTCAGCAGAGGCTCCACCTTCTCGTAGTAGACTTGGACAGACTCCTTCCTGTGACTCTGAGGGTTGAGGAGGATCTTTAGCGCCTTAGGCCTGCTTGGGAAACCTAGCATGAAAATGAGCATAAGGTTAGAGTGCCCGTCAGAGTATCACACAGGTATCTGAATAGCATTTGCTATTTGCATCTTAGGTTCTTGCTTGAGTGTGGCTTCTATTTATTTTAACCATCTGCTCTCCTAGAGGCGAAACATGATGCTTCCACTCCTCAGACAAGTCATGCATTATAATCAGCACGTTATTCAGAAAGCAGGGTATAAAATAATAGCAACCTGTAAACACGGAAGCGAGACTGATGCACACTGACGCACGCTGATGCACGCTGAGCCACTCCCAGAGGAGGCACTTCTTTGTGGAGTCGGGCTGAGAACCGTGACACACAGAAAGGTACCTTCTCTTCTCCTTAGATAGAAATTTACACCAGAACTGGGCACCTAATGACCTCAGGTCTGCCGACATCTGACCTACGCTGTGACTCGGGGGACAGAGTGAGCAAGCAGGGGCCAGTCGCTGCTATCCTCCAGTGCTGGTGACTCAAAGGGGGTAAGGTCAGAGTTCAAATCCCAGAAGGTGGCAGGGGAGAAGGCGCTCTTCTCCTGGGGAGTAGGAAGGCATCCCCTCTCAGAGCCCAGTGGTGATGGGCTGCCTCACAGTTGGGACTGAGATCTGATACTGCAATTTTCTGGGCAGGAGGCTTGGCACTGAGAACCCACTTGGAGCAGGTGTACAGCCAATTGCCTGCTGTTAGGAAGGGGCAGGAGCCAAAAGAAAGCTGACAACCATTTCTTTCATGGTAAGCTGCGCTCAGACTACAGCAGCTTAAGGTTATAAAAGCAGTTAGCATTTGTTTTTTTTTTTTTTTTAATAAAGCCATCACTAAAGATAAATGGAAGGAAATGCCCGTTTATAACAAACTCTGTGTTTCATGCTTCACTTAAGGAGAATGTTGCCCGGTCTCGTGATATTTGATGTAACGAGCATCTTTTATCAGCACACTCTGAATTCAGGGGGATAAGGAATGGACAGAGCCATGCCAAAGTCTTTGGACACTCCCAAGAAACCTTTGGAGGGATCTCTGTTTTGATAAGGAGCCATGGCTGTCCAGATCACACATGCTAAGACCCCATCCATTCCGGATGTCTTGCTTTTTTCCAGTTCCTGTATTTCAGTGAGTTCTGAGAATCCTAGCTCCCAGGCCTCCTGAATATATCACCATCAAGCCCTCTGATGCAGGTTTCTGGCACCTGTGCCCTGTGCCCTGGGTCGCCCCCCCCCCCACTCCCTGGTTTGCATAGCTCCCACAGAGCAGCTCCTCCAGTGTTCCAAAGTAACCCTAGCAACTCTCTGCTGGGGGCACTGTGCAGAACCCTTAAAATGGCCTCCAGAGGTGGCCAATCCTATCCTAACCCAGCTCCTCTCTTCTCACAATCAACATTCATGAAAGACACATCGAACTTTTGTGTTCCAGCCTGGGAAGAAGGGACAGAGAAGATGCAGCTGTTGCTTCAAAGGAGACAGCAGGACCAGTGGTTCTCAACCTTCCTGATGCTCCAACCCTTTAATACAGTTCCGCACGTTGTGGTGATCCCCAACCATAAAAGTATTTTGCTGCTACTTCATAACTGTAATTTTGCTACTGTTATAAATCATAAATATAAATATTAGACATCCTGGATGGTCTCAGATGATTCCTCTGAAAGAGATCAAGGAATCAAGATCCGCCTGGGTTGAGAACCACTGGTCTAGACTCTCAGCAGAGGCCTGAAACACAATGGGAGTATATATGGTGCAGTATTGCTTCTTGGGGGTTTGGAAACGCCCCTTTGACACAGGACATTTTCCTCTACCTAGAATACCTTTCCCTGTTACTCTCTGGACTCATTACCAATCTGCCCAGGCTGGAGATTGTATGTGATCCCAGTCTAGCTCAGCACACAGAGCTGTGTTAATATAGCAGAGGCTCTTCTGGGGCCGGTTCAGCTCCTTATGACGACTCCATCCATTTACTGCGGCAGATGGCAAAGCGGGGCCTTCTCCACTCAGGTGTTTTTGTTTTGGTTTCAGACACATTTTAAAAATCAAAATTCTACCATTTGTTTTTACAAGGCTGACTCCGAACCCCACATCCGCCCAGCAGCCTTTCTTTGCTAACCCCAGAATGCATTCCTTTCTCCACTCTGCGCCCAATTACTCCAGGCTCTTGTGTTACCTAGTTCCTGTACCACTTATACAAATCTCTGACAGAACATCTTGGGACTCCCACTAACCAGCCACAGTTCAGTTAAAACTGTGAGATGTGACAGTAATACATTATACTTTGGTGGATTTTAAGCATTCCACTTGACAGGCTACACGGACACTAAGCAAACGATGAAAAGGGAACATTTGTCTTAGAATAATAATAGATATGGGAGGCATACCAAAGCTAGAAAAATCTTAATTCTAAGCTGGGCGGTGGTGGCGCACGCCTTTAATCCCAGCACTCGGGAGGCAGAGGCAGGCGGATCTCTGTGAGTTCGAGACCAGCCTGGTCTACAAGAGCTAGTTCCAGGACAGGCTCCAAAACCACAGAGAAACCCTGTCTCGAAAAACTAAAGAAAAAAAAAATCTTAATTCTATGCCAGGCCTCCTTAGCCTTATTCCTCAGAGAAAGGTGAGTACACTATCCACCCATTCCGCAGCCCCTCAACTCATGACAATCAACGAAGGACAATCAGATCTGCACAATCAGACACAAAAGGAAGTCAAGTTAAAGCAGGAACTCAGTTTATTACTGAGTTAAAAAGGTTAAGTGACATTGTGTGATGTGGGGTACCTCCAGCCAATGAGAGACAGCCAAGCCCTCCTTCTGGCTGGAGGAGCATCTACCTAGATTTTACAGTCTCATCCCTGCCGGGTAGCTTTGAGACTATCCTTCAAACTTGAGCCAGGCTTTTCTCTGTCCTCCAGACCTCGAGGCCCTGAGATCATTTTGGCCCAACAATTCTAGACATTAGGAAAATTGATTCAGGCAAGGTACAGGCCCTGAGACCATTTTGGCCCAACAATTCTAGACATTAGGAAAATTGATTCAGGCAAGAAGTAATGGGTGCCAGAACCATCTGGTAACAACTGGGAAGGCTACTTACGTATCCCTAAACTCTGTCCTATTACAGGACACTGAAGCAGCTACAGACACATGCCTCCACGGGAGACTCTGGGTCCAGGGAGAATTCCATTGCTGTCTCTTAACCAGGAAGACTCCTGGTTTGATCTCACTAAACCACAACAGAGCCAAGCACTGGCTTTAAATTCTAGGCACCAAGCGTCAGAAGGAACGCCCTGCTCCATCAGCTTTAAGTGGGACGTTAACCTAAAGGTCCTCTTTCCTTTTATGGACAGCCCCCACAAGTTGCTATTGTAAAACCTGACTTTAATTTCCTCATTTTCCCATGATCCTGATTTCCTTGCCAACACCTCCACACCTGTTGTGTGTCAAGTAGAAGCAGGGGCTTTGAAACTTCATTTGTGAAGCCCCTGTCCTGACAAAGGGGACATCCTAAGGGCCGAACACAAACAAAGGAATTCAGCCTGGGCTAAAAGGTGTCTGTGCTAAGGACAAAACTGTAGCCTAGGCAAGAGAGACGGTAGAGGTGAAGGGGGCTCCCTGGACGGGAGAGTCAGGTCCCCCAGAACCTTTCAGGTGTTTCCAGGGACTTTGTTTTTTGTTGCTTAGTAAAAGATGTCTGGTCAGTTGTAAGGAAAGCAGTACTATAACCAGGCTCACTCTGGTGTCTGTATAGAAGGTCAATGCAGCAGGACTATGGGAAAACAAAGTCAGCACAGCTAGTTAACACTTAGAGGAGAAAACTATTGTTCTTGGAGGGGAATGGGTACAACCAATGTTAAAACAAAAATGAGATTTTACATGCATTTTTAAGTAGAACTAACCAGAAATATGGTCTTTGGGCATGGCCCCTGAAATAAAGTGTCCTGTGAAGTCTAAGGTGGGTAGACACGGGGAAAACAGATCTGCAAGATGTGTAAGAACTAGAGGCATGGGGAGCATCTTCTCAGTGGGCTGATGGGCTTTAGGAGATGTGATCAGGCAGGGTAAGAAGACCCAAGGAGACAGGCTGCAGGGAGTGGGTCTGAAATTGAGAGAGAGACCACTATGGGTGGTAGAGATGGGAAGCTAAGAACTTAAACAAGCTCCATGTGAGGCTAATGGGCTCTGGGCCACACTGTGACTGTGTCCATGGTGAAGTACAAATATAAATATGTACAGAATACTGCTGCTCATATCTATAATCCCAACACTCAAGAGGCGAGGGCAAGAGGATCATTGTGAGTTTAGGGCCCATGTGAACTCCATAAAGAGGTCTGGGTCAGCTAACTATATGGTGAGACTCTATCCAAAAGGACAGCAATCACATCAAATAATTATGGGACACTCGAGAACTTTGTGAAGGAATAGACGCTGAGCCGGAGAGCATGTGTGAAAACATCAAATACCCCCCACAGAGTAGAACAGTAGAGTATAACAATAGCTTTAGTCTTTAAGATGTTAAAAAAAAAAAAAGAATGACCCAGGCAATTGTACCAGACCCCTTGTAGCAGACAGTGCTACCTGGAGAGCTGATGGGTTGGTGGCAGCAGTGAGTGCTTTTAGAGGCAAGGGAGAGAAGAGGAGGAGGATCCTAGCTAACATCATCTTCTAGGAGGACCGGTTCAGAGAGGCGGTCATCCTGTGAGAGGACTGCAGGGGGAGCTGTAGGCCCTCGGGAGAGCCGGGTCACTCACTCCTAAAGCAAGGAAGAATCCAAATACTCATGTGTGGGGTGTGATAAGCAGATGAAAATGTAGACTTTGCTAATGGTGTGCCATTCATCCCAGAGGACAGAGCGGAGGTGTCTCAAGTTGATGAAGGCAAGGAACAGAGCTGGGCTAGTCTTGCAGAGCCCCAGGGGATGGTGTCGGTAATAAGGAGTCTCCTGTGGCGGTAGGGTAGGAATAGCACTGTGTACAGTTCTGACCGGAGACAGGGCTGGAAGGTCTGGTGCTAAGCAG